GGGACAAGTAATGGCGAGCCGTTGATTTAAGACATTTCAATACCAATTAAGGCCTTAGTTTTATTTTGAAGAATTCAATGCCTTTTAAGACTTTTTAAGGACCCGCGGGAACCCTGTAGATTGATAGACAGTGGAAGGACAGAAGAAAAAAAAAGCTGACCTCCTGCTCCTGTTTCCTCCTGGCAGCTTCTTCCTTCTTCCGTTTCTTCTCCTCTTCCATCTGTGAAGAAAGGAAAACGTCTCAAAGCTTCTCTAACTTCATCCGCTGCTTCCTTTGTTTTATTTTAATGATTTCCCAGTTATAAAACCTGGATGGATCAGTGAAAATCTTCCTACCTTCTTCTTGTCCTCTTTCTCCTTCAGTAAAGTCTCCTTATCCACCAGTTTCACCACGGTGGGCTGACCTGAAACACAGTCACTGTCAGAGTGAATCAGCTGCAGAAGAGGAGGTGACCTCTGACACCTGCTCTCTCATGTTCTCAATCCATCACCAGAGGTCAGAAATGTTCCTCCGCGTTAAAAAGCTGCATCACCTTCATGATCCTCCAGTCGGACTCCCAGCTCCGGCAGCGTGTCGTCCCGCACCACGTCGCACAGCTGCAGCAGCGCCGTTACTGGACAGTTGGAAAGAAGAGGACTGGTTCAGGATCCTGCAAAGCGTGTTTCTGCTCTAATGGACTTGGGATTCTCCCTCACCTTTCTGCTCTCTGGCGATTCGCCGGACGTTCTCTCTGAAGTCTGACAGCACGGCGAGGTACGGCATCACCGTGCTCTCCAGCTGCAGGGATGGGACAAAGAAAACGGATAACTGGGAGCTCTGGTTCAGGTGGATTTCCTGCCACCGAGGAGCCGTTTACTTACATCGACTGTTTGGCCTCCGACAGGAAAACCGATGGGATCCGAACCTTCGATCGCTCCAAAGATCTGAACGACAGAAAAAGCTCATAAAATTTGAAACTATGAAACTAAGAAAAGAGCGGCGGTAAACTTTAAGGTAATACCAGATAAACATGAACAAATAAAAATAGAAACTTTTTCTTTACTCCTTTTTTATTTGACTTTAGATTTTCCTCATGTCTTAAACAGAGACGGCCCCAGTGTGGACCCGTCCAGCTGAATCGTCTCTGCTCACCTTCAGCATGTTGGTGAGGTATGAGGCGATGCTCTCCAGCAGCAGGCGGTTGGGCCTCAGCTTGGAGCTCTTCCTGCCAGCGATGTAGCTGTTGCTGTGGCTGACCAGCAACCTCATCTCCTCCATGGCGCCGCGCGTGTCCATGTTGTCACACAGGGCCTGGTGGACGGCGGACTTCCTGTCATAGAAACTGAACCAGAACCAGACGGTCAGTCTGTAGCAGAGTTCCAGCAGATCTGGAGGTGGAGCTTATTAGGTTCAGTTGTACTATAGAACCTCAGAGTTCGGCCTTTCGGAACAGCATTTTTGCAAACACAGAAGAAGAAAGAGCACCTTGGCACCTCCTTTTCAAATGAGCTGCGACTTTTGGAAGTAGCTGAAGTATTATTTTAACTTACGGTGTGTGAATGAGCTGCTCCCAAATGTAAAAAAACATAATTCTATGTTTGCTATGGTTACGCATCATACCAAATATTAAAGTTATAGTGGAGGATGTTCTTTTTCCGGGTGGATCATCAAAATAAGTGGTCCTCCTATTTGTCAATCGTTCTGGTGATATGTCCTACGTGCTCGTCCCCGTTTTCACTTACCGATGGTGAGTCTGACAGTAGAAAAATTTAAAATCTTCTTTCGGAAAGCAGGCTTGTATGAATTCTGACTTTAATCTCAGAATTCTGACTGAATTCTGACAGTTTACAAACATGTTAGCATCAAGCCATAGCCATGTGTGTTTTAGAGACTAGCTCTCTTGTTTTAATGACCTTCTGCTCCTCCATTAATGAGGGGACCCCTCAGGCATGTAAAAAGTTGCCTAATTCCGTCATTTTCCACCAGTGTGTCGCTGTTCCTCTCAAACAACTCACATCTTTGTCAGTGAAGCTGAGTGCTCCAACATCTCTTCCTTCATGGTGCCCATCTACATTAAGATCCATAATTCTGAGATTAAAGTCAAAATTCTGCCAAAAAAAGTCAGAATTCTGAGATTAAAGTCAAAATTCTGACAAAAAAATCAGAATTCTGAGATTAAAGTAAAAATTCTGAGAAAAAAGTCAAAATTTTGAGATTAAAGTCAGAATTCTGAGATTAAAGTGAGAATTCTGAGATTAAAGTCAAAATTCTGACAAAAAAAATCAGAATTCTGAGATTAAAGTCAAAATTCTGAGATTAAAGTCAAAATTCTGAGATTAAAGTCAAAATTCTGAGATTAAAGTCAAAATTCTGAAATTAAAGTCAGAATTCTGAGAAAAAAATAAGAATTCTGAGATTAAAGTCAGATTTCTGAGATTAAAGTCAGAATTCTGAGAAAAAAATTAGAATTCTGAGATTAAAGTCAGATTTCTGACTTTTTTCCCATATTAAACTGATATAAAATTTAAAAATCAGTTAACTTTTTTTTTCTCCAGTGGCCCTAATCCTCTTCCGTAAACACCAGAAGCGAAAAAACACAGGAGAAAAGAAATGGATCCACAACAGCTAGCTGATCCGCGCTAACGTTCAGCCACTGTAGGCAGCACTATTCTAGAAGGAATCGATAACCTTTTTACTCCTTTGCCGCCTCACCTGTTGTTCAGCTCGATCTCGGCAGCCTCCCACTTCTCGAAGCGGCCGGTAAGATCTGTGGGAGCTCTGAGGATATCTTTGACGTTCAAGAAGAACTCCTGTTGAGGACAAACAAAAACAGCTGTTAGGAAGCTGCTCCAGGAGGCTGGAAGGACCGACAGTAACTGGTGCAAACACCCTGGTGAAGATTCTCAGTCATCCAGGTCAGTCATTCAAAAAAAAAAGAAAATTAAAAACAATTCACTGGACTTTGTTTCCAAGTTTGAAGACGTTTTGCTTCCCATCCAAGAAGATTTTTCACTTCACATATTGAATTGAAAGATCTTCTTGGATGGGAAGCAAAAAGTCTTCAAACCTGGAAACAAAGTCCAGCTGATTGTTTTTAGTTCTCTTTTTTTGGAATAGTGTGAACACGTACATTCAGGAACTTCTCATACTGGACGGCCGACTCCATGGTGTTAGAGGAATAATCCAGGGTGTCTTTCCAGGAATGCATGAGGAAGGCCAAGCGGAGCTGTCGCGCTGCAGGAGGAACATTTTACATCACCTGATGAACATCTACAGAACCATGAGAGCAGAACCAAGCAGCAGAATCTCACCTGTGTTCTTGGCCAAAGCGTCTTTAATGGTGATGAAATTTTTGAGTGATTTGGACATCTTGCAGCCGGCGATGGTCAGGTGACCAGTGTGCAGGAAGTAACGCACCCAGTGATCGTTCTCAAAGAACGCCTGAGGAGATAAAGCAGGTCAGATGAAGCCACCTTCCTCAAGGAAAACATTAATGTTAGCCTTCATGCCTTTTTAAGGATGTTTTCCTTCCAAACAGCCAGATTCTGTGTAATTCAGAAAATAATATTTTTTTTTTACTTTGGCTAAAATAAAAAAAAGTTTCAGTCCAGTTCTTGTGATCCGCCATAGATCTCCGGCTCTTTGGAAGGAGAACATAAAGAAGTGAGCAGTGATCAGGAAAGCAGACCTCAGACTGGGCCAGCTCGTTGTCATGATGGGGGAAGCGGAGATCAAATCCTCCTCCATGGATGTCCATAGACTCTCCTAAGATGGAGCCAGCCATGGCCGAACACTCGATGTGCCAACCCGGCCGGCCCTGTGCAGCATCCAAACAAAGGTAAGCTTTATCATCTTCATTATGAAAAGGCTTGGATCAGCCGAACATCTCAGGTTGCATCAGGTAGAAGCTCATATTCGGGCACAGTGTGATGACTCACCTTCCCCCACGGTGAGTCCCAGGACGGCTCTCCTGGCTTTGAGGCTTTCCACAAGGCAAAGTCGTTCTGGGACTTTTTCTCACTCAGTCTGTCTGCAGAGATGCTCAGATCGCCTGCAGAGACACAGGATGAAGACGAGGCTATAAACAGAAATCTGTTCATCTCTTCTTCAGGGTTTCTACAGCATGAGGCGAGTTAAATTCAAGACTTTTTAAGACTTTTTTAATGCCACTTGGAAGAAAAATTTAAGACCAAATTCACAAGAAACACAAGAAAAATCCGCTTGCGACGACCGTTTCAAATTTTGAAAAGCTTCCCATACAGGAAGAAAGCTAAAAACACACAAATGACAGATATACCGTAAATTCTCTAATATAGGCCCGGGCCTTTATTT